ACTAACTACACACTATCTACTATTAATATTTACTATTTTACTATGTAAAATCGAAAGATTTGTAACTAAATTTAAATCATATACCTAGTAATCATTTTTTGGAAATAATGCCATTGATTGTTGAAACATGCGGAAAAATAATCAATAATTTGCTTAGTATTTTAGATTTATTCAAATTAATATACATTTTTCGCTAATGAAAATAATATTGTATATGCGATACAAATAACGTGTAAAGTATAGGATGAAACGACTTAAAATAGATAAATTCTGAAAACGTTGTTATATTTTCAGTGTCACTCAAATGTGGAATAACAAAAAAATTGTTATACAGGGTGTCCCCATCCGCGCACGCCAAACTTTCTTTTGCGTTATAGAACCCCACAAAATAAGTAAAAAGAATTCCATTGACGCAAATTCTGAGTTTAGATACAGTGTGTTTAAATTAAAGAAAAATAGTTTTATTTAAATATTTGTAATATAGATTGATGTTTGATATAATGTAGATAGATGAAATATTATCTTTAATGATTTACTAATTTAAAGATAAAAATCCACGAAAAATCTATCAATCAGTTGCAGTGACACTGGGTGGTAGTTACCAAAAACATAAACACACTGACTGTTTGGATAGGGAAACTAAATTGGGAAGTATAGGTATTTATCTCCTAATATGTTATGAATAAAAAAAGGTATATTACACTTTACTCGAAAAATGGCTATTATAAATTATGTTTTATTTAAAATAACCTTGTTACTCATTCGAATAAGTTTAAAATATCTCTACGTAAATGTGTTCATTTCACAAAAAAAATGTATAGTAATGTTTTAATCAGGAGCCCATTTCAAATACAGTATAATTAGGAAAAGTTCAAAACAGTTTGACGTACAATTATTTAAATCTACCAAAACACTCTACGTCAACGACTTTTCTTCTTTCTTTTAGTAATTACGCTGTATTTATAATTATATTTCGAATAAAATAATGTAAAAATGTATCCTCTCTTAAATCAGTAGTATTGAAATTCCGATGTTCTTATAAGTAGTACCTTCCAATATCTTCGCTCCGGTTTATATATGTATTTATGAACCATTACCAGAGGATTTATTCTGTTCCTTGTGTATTTTGACACCTGTGAAAAAAAAACCATTAAACTATTTTTACTTATCGAAAAATGTCACAGATAAATAAAATATAAAAATTGCGAAAGAAGTAACAATAAAATAAATATATCTCTAGCTGTGGAAGAAGACAAAAGCAAAATTTAAATTTAAACTGTCAAACTGCGACAAAGAAATGTCAAGTTTTGAAAACGATAAAAAAATCTTTTTTTAATTTTTCATTTATCTGTTTTTTTTTTCATTGTGAAGTTTTTGGTTAGGCAAAAATAGGTTAACAAAAACAACCATTAACTGATCCTTTTGGCGGAGGGGTTTATTTAATTATTTTTTCCCAGATGTCACAAATAAATATCTTGGGACAATATCAGTACAGTGCTTCAACAACAAAATAAAAAAGTAACAAGCATAAACAAAACAAAAAAAACTAAAAGTTTTCTTCAGCGGTATCCAGACAGGGTATGTTTCTCAGAAAAAAAAATAACCAGAGCGCAGTATAAGTGTAAAGAGTATCTCAGAAATAAGTGCCAAAATTTTAACCATTTATTTAACTAATCAAATGCAACAATTTTTTTCTAATACATATTTTTGAAAACTCACGTATTGTCCGGATTTTAAACGCTAACAAGCTGCCTACAAGCTGTTTCTATCGTTTGTGTTTATTTTTGTCAGCTCAGTTAAACTAATACTCCAATAGTGGCTAACAAAAAATTTTAAATTTCAAAAACTATAAAATTTTCGTTAAAAATTATTGGACAAAAGTTGTTGCTAAATTAAATGAGTGAGTAAAATTTTGGCGTTTATTTCTGGGACACTGTAAATATCTTTTTTTTTATCTTGTATTGGAGCGATAACCGCTGAAAATTCACCGTTTTCGAACATTAATTATCTTGAATTGTTTTCAAGAAAAATACTTCTGGGCTAAAAAATGTTTTTCTAAGTTTAGTTAAATAATGTCAGTTTCGGCATTTTTTTATATAAAACTGACAGATCCTGGAGATAATGACATGATTCCTTTTGTCTTCTTCACGTGATATTATTTTTTTTCAGCAAAATGATTGGTAAGATCAAATTTTTTCAAAAATAGATTATTAAAAGTTTTCCCATACGCTGCATGACAATGATTGAAAATTGAAAATAAAAAAATATTTCCTGTTGTCTTCTTTTTGTATTACTAATTTATTTGCAAGCAATTTTTTTATTACCATTAAAAATAAGTATTATAATGTTTACTAGAATAAGATATCCAGGAATTCATCATTCTGAGACATTGTGTAAACATCGCATAAAGCATATAATAAATGTTGGATTTATTTTTATGTTTGCTGTGTACCTAGATTCAAATACACCGAATAGTTTACTATTTGATTTTTATGGTTTCTAAATCATGAGCGGAAAAATATAGAATTACATTTCATGTAACGGTTCGTGGGGATTTTATGAATCTGTTTAATTTTTTAAACGACATAAATACTTCACGCCCAGCTCTCCGGTTCTATTCCGAGGAATTTCCTCAAGGAAAGCGATTAACCGGCTTTATACATTAATTAATAGGAGATATTAAAACCAAATTAGTGCTCGCGTTTAATGATTAATTACCGGCTGGCAGTTTGTTATGGCATTCCGACCAAAGGCGTTATTTGAATTTTAAAATTGCTTTTTATGTGGCGTTTTATTGGGGCTCGTACCCGCGTACTGAACATTAATTAACATTTTAAAATTAACTTTTTTACTGGGGATATTAATTACTCAACATTTGGGCCTTTAATTATGTACATGGGATACTAAACGCCGGCTATGGACTCGATTAAATTTAGAGAGCCCGTTTAATGATCCCGGCATTTTGTTTTCGTCTAATATTATGACAGGTCTGTCTATTCAGTCCCCCAGACGCGTTAGAGTGTATTGTTTTCCGTGGGAGAGATTGACAATAAATAAATAATATCTTTACAGATTACAAAACTTTTCTCATTAGCGTCGTCTACCGTTGCGCAGGAAAATAATATCTTTATTCCTATATCATAAAAATAAATTTTATTAATAGTTCTTTAAAATGAGCCATCGTTTATTGAAATCGATTAAGACATTTAGAAGTTATGACAATTTAAAAATTTCAAGATAGCGTCCTTCATACTGACGTTGCTATGGTAATAACAAAAAAAAAGTTCACACAAAACTTGTGAAGGGTTTAATAGTGTATCTAAAAAATGTATTTGCAACTTAGGTTATATAAGCGAAATTTCGAAAAACCGACTATTTTCTGTAACACTATAGCAGTTACGGCCCCTAGCGGTGAAGTTACAGACTTGAAAATATTTTAAATCAATTTCTTTTGGTCGTATTTGTTAATAGGTGTTCTACCCCAAAATCGTAGCACCTCTAGTTTTCTATATACAGCCGCTCGATACCGTTAATCACCCTGTATATATAATTGTCAATAACCACGCTATATTTTTTTTTAATGTCAAGATAATTATAGATTTTTTGGGCATCAAGAAATACTGCATATGCAAGAGACAAACTAAATAAGATAAACAGTGCATAAATTACGGAGACGCAGTGTTTTAGAAAAAATGCTGTGACCTCATCACACTCTTAAATATTTTTTTATACAACTTAAATTATTCAGAATGTAAAATACAACCACAGTGCATTTTGATAGGCATACTAGAATAGTAAAAAGTACTTACCTACCTATTTCAGATTATATAAGTAATGAATTAGGTAAAATAAAACAGAAATGTAAATTTTGCTAAATAATGACCTAAAAATTGGTATGGCGATGTACAGAGCCTTCATAAATGATTACAAGTCACGTGACCAGTAATTTTATTTGGAATAGTAATTTTATTTCCTTCACGTTGGCAATTGAATTTCGGCAACATTAAAAATTATTAAAACAGTAAAATCAAGATTATATTAAAATATAAGATTCTGTTTCACTAGCTAGTGATTGGTGTAATTTTTCTCGAGATGTTATTTAACGAATTGGGCGTAGACTCAACGGTTTATCATTGTTCATTATAAACGGATCATTAATACATATTGGTGACGCTAATACTTAGAGATTTTTAGTTCACAGTACCAGTCGTGCAATATTGGGTTGCCTAAGCTTGGAGGTGAAAGATCTTTAGATCTTAGTAGTGTAGTAACGAATGAACATTTATTACATTCTTCAACATACATATTAACCGAGTTTATAATAATTATGTTTTTAATAAATAATATAGTATCAAGTAAGATATGAAACGGATTTCAACTCTTGTTCAGTGAAAAATAAATCATTTTTTAGAAATCATTTTTCCATTTTGATAACTGTTTTGTCTTATTTTTAATCTTCTAATTCTGCCTACAAATAAAAACGTTTTTTTTAAACAATGCCTTTTCCGCTATACTTTTAATTGCAGTTCTAATTACATATCCCAAGAAATTTGGGATATACGTAATCTTTAAAGAAATTCCAATCACTGAATTATGAACCTCACTGTACATTATGTATTCATATTTCTTCCTTATTGTGCACTTTCCAAACACTCTTACGATACATTGAAAATTTATTATTCGCCAGAATATTTGTGAAATTACGACAGCGGGTGTCTTATTAGAATATACCGTTTTATTGCGCCTAATTATTAATATTATAAAATTAACGTTAGGCCGTAAAATAGCGTTTACAGTCGTTTAATTACACAATACAATATGCCTCTCTACCTACTTCTATTCCGAGAGATTATAACCCCATGAAATAATATGTTGCGAAGCGCTGGGCGTGGCGCTTTTATCAATTTTTCATGCCTGATGCATCGTGGCGATGACTTTTACAAACAATACTGATATTAGTTGGGGCTCTTTGATTAATTTGTTTCTTTGTTTAATTGCAGCTCTACGAGATAAACGATGACCCGAAACGGAAAGAATTTCTTGATGACCTGTTTTCGTTTATGCAAAAAAGGGGTAAGTTTTTATTTCTAAAATATATTTTTTATAATATGTCTCAAAGCATCGAAGCACACAAATAAATTTTGTTAACTAGTCTAGATACTAAAAACAGTCTACTAATCTCTCGGAATTGTGTAGGGGACACTAGGACTTTCTATAATAATTTTTTTCCTAATGTGCTTTTTAACGGAGATATCGGGCCTCAATGTTTTAGGTTCTAACGTATATTTTGATTGATAATTTATCATTCTGTTTTAGTGTGTTGCAAATAAGGCTCCATGATTTAATGTTAAAACCTACCTTTTAAGACATTCAGAACGGACTGGCCTCAAAACATGATTTTTTAAATTTTTAAGACATCATGCCATCCAACTGAAAATATTATTTTAGGATACTCTGAAGTCTATCTCCATGAAATAAACTATCCGAGATTAATCGGTTTTTGAAATGGACAGCAATGACTAAAATTTGTTTTTAAAAATAAAAATTTACATAGGTAGTAATAAAAAATGAGAAAAAGGTAAATATCATATCAAAGTGTGTAAAATCAACTTTTGTTGTTTTCGTATATTTTCCCGGTCCACATGAAATAACATTCCAGGACTGTTATGAATTATTACGGTTTTATTTTTTTCAGCAAAACTTCTTTTACTGGTGTTATACAAATGAGCTCTTTTATTAGACTCCAAAGAAAATGCAATGGATTTAAATTGGGTAACCCAGATATCAATAAATCAAGATTTCCTCGACCTACAATGAAAGAAATGCGTTTTATTCTTTATTAGAATTCTATATGCCATTATNCGAAGATACTTAGATGAAATGTTTCCAAATCGCTGGATTGGTAGACGGGGTACAGTTGAATGGCCGCCAAGATCCCCCGACTTAAAACCCCTGAATTATTTTCTTTGAAAGAAAGAGTCTATCAGAACAGACCAGATAATATTGAGAATTTAAAGAACAAGATTAGGGAGGAGATGCATAATTTACCAGCTGAAGTCATTCAGAATGCTGTGGACAGCTTTTACTATCGTCTTGGAGAATGCCAAATAGTGAATGGAGAACATTTTCAGCATTTGCGACATTGAGTTTATTTCTGTAAATTATCTAGTTGTTTCAATTTCTAAATGAAATAAAACTTGTTTATTTGGTATGGCTGGATTCGGTTTTCTATAAGCTTTTCAACGAGCCCCCTCATGCCTTTCCATTTGAAAAAAAAGTAGGGGTAGCCAGGGGTTAGGGGGTTGAAGAAAAATTAATTATTATATAACCGGAAGATGGGAAAAAATCAAAATCAGTTAACGTGTTTCGGCGTTTTAAAAAAAAATTACTCATTCAAAAGATATAAATTTTATTCCATACTTTTAGCCATCCCTGAATAAAGCATTTCTTGCTGGCGATTATTATATGTAGGAGACATTATTTGAAAGGAAATTTTACATTGATTTCAAAAACAGAAGAATGTTGAAGTGTTTCGTTTAAAAAAATGTACATATATAAGCATGGTTTATATGACTTTAAAAACTGGAAATTACTGAAAACTACCGTATACTACACTGGATTATACGCAAACAACCTCTTTATCATGAAAAAAAAAAAAAATTAGTAAATAAAAAAGGATGTTCGGCATCACAAAAAACGAAAAATATTCAAAAATTAACAGTAACGTTGGTTGCGATTTTCGCCATTCAATTTTTCTTAAGAATCAAGCTTTAGACATCATAGCTACCTTTCGTTTATCTCCCCAATAAATAAAATAAACCTCTCAACAGTTCCTAAATTGGTCCGTCCTGTACTGACAGCGCGCGTAATGTACACAGCATTCATAAATGATTACAAGCCACGTGACCGCCGAGCATAGGCAACCCATCATTGCACGACCGATGCTGTCAACTAAAAATCCCTAAATCTTTAGCACCATCAATATTAATGGTTTGTTTACAATAAACAATGAAAAACCGTTACGTCTACACTCGCGATAATGCAATTGTTGATTTGTTGAATAAAATCTCGTGAAAAATTACACAAGTCACCAGCCGGCGAAACAGAATGTTGTGTTTTAAGGTAATCTTGATCTTTTAATATAATCGTGACTTTTTTAATAATTTTTTATTTTACGGAAATTTAATTGCCAACGCGAAGAATATAAAATAACTGTTACTAACAAAATTACTGGTCACGTGGCTTGTAGTCTTTTATGAGGGGTCTGTATATACTTGTATACCTAAGTAGCACGATGGCAAAACTTTTTTTACAATCATTTTAATCAGCTTGAGTGAAATTTATACCCGTATATGTTCCCTTGACAATATTATGCATGATATTGCTGTAATAATCGCGAGACTATAGATGTTACTTTTTATACTTAATTTGAAAAATTTAAATTTGACTGTAATTTTGTAATAATTTAAATCTAGCGACCAAAGGTGAGTGGGATCTGTATACAACGGCAGCCGTTCAGGAACACGGGGGTCCACATTTTAGAATCCCCTAGAGAGCCATACCGAACGAATTACGCCTTATCAGATCTAGTGGCCTCGGTAAAATCACCCCGGCCGTGTCAAGCAGCAGCCCGGCGCAGTAATCGCTTGTAATGTAGTGTTAAAACACCGGCCATTGTTGCGAGGCGGGGTTGCCGAGGTTAAACGCGGTCATTAATAACACTGCTTAACTAATCTGTCCAGCGCGGTCATCCATCTCTTCGCGGGTTGAGTCGTGGGGCCGCCGCGAGCCCCCGAGCCGCCATCCGGCGCTGCCCCAACGACGGCGAATTTACGGGCCGAGCGACGGCCTGTGGGTATAGTCCACGCCGACCGGCCCTACGGCGATCGCGACCAATGGACACCGGTGGTACTTGGCTAAGTTTATGTTTGTTCGAGATTTGGGAGCTGCGAGCAATTTTAATAATAAAAAAATGGCTCAAGGCGACTGTTGCCTGGTTACGATATCAACATAAATTTAAATTTTGTTTAAAACTTAGACGTAGGAAGAGGGAGATAAGACATAAATTTCCCACTCATCGCAGTCATGACCAATAAGTTTGTTTGGAACAACAATTTTATTTCCTTCAATAAAATGAAGATTACATTAAAACATAATATTCTGTTTCATCGACTGGTGATTGGCACAATTTTTCACGAGATTCTATTTAACCAATCAGCGATCGCATTATCTCGAGCGTAGACGTAACGGTTTGTCATTGTTCATTGTAAACGAAACATAAATATTAATGACGCCAAAATTTTGTGAATTTACGAGTACCTACCAGTCCCGCAATGTTGGTTGCCTAAGCTAGGCGGTCACGTGGTTTGTACATATTTATGAAGGCTTTGCATTGTGAGTTTAGTCTTATAATATAATAATTTCCTCACTTAAGTCACTCAATCACGAAAAACAGTTATCTTTTGCTCAGAATTGCAATAATTGTTCGCGATCCCTTCCAAACTAATTCTGAGTCTGATTCGAGGTGATATTTACGAAATATTAACAAAACCATTCAACAATAACTAACGGTAGTTCACCCTAATGTGTTTTATCTTGTACATACATTCGAAACACGGCTAAACCAGTTAATTCAGATGGAAATATTATATTTTAGAGGAAGAGTTTGGAAATACTTGACAGTTCGTATATTAGGTGCAAGGGCTTCCTGAACTAATATAAAACTGTTACGGTCCTGTTCTCTGTTTATCTCCAAGGTCATTGAATGCAACTGAAAATATTAAATTACGGAAAACAGAGGTAATACTTTTACTTTTTTAAAATACTTAGAGGTAAAATTTTTAGAACACAGGTTAACGCTTCAGTTAAAATTATTATTTTCAGGGTTCTTTATAATTGAAACTTTACAAATATCGTGTTTGATGATTCATGTTTAATTTTACGCTTTACTAATCTAAAAATTTACATATGAAAAGTTAAGTTAACCTGCAATTTATAATGTAGGGTTTAATATGTAGTAGGTACGACGAAATTTTAGAAACGTTAGGTCAGTTATACCAACCATGAAAATGCTGAAAAAGCACTGCCAGTAATACCGGTACAGAAAGGCACTTGTCTTATAGTCCATACGATATTTGTTGAGTTACAATTCCAAGAAGACCCCTGCACCACTTTGTTGGAATTAACCGCATTCGACACCCGAGGTAGAAAGACACTGGCGGAAAATTTCAACGCACGCTCCTGCCGTGGAAAATTATTACAGTAGTTCCGATAATTTTCATGGAATTCTATCTCGACAAATATTGTACGGACTGTACTTTTGGTTAGTTAAGACGCCAAACGTTTCTATTATTTTTCTATACCTACCAGTGGTCGTCTTTTTTCGTCAAAATACTTTAAAGTCAATGACAACGTCTCCAAGTTATAGCAAAACTTGTCGGAAAACACATTACATGATAAAACAGTGTACAGGGTGTATCTAAATAAAAAAACACAAATGACAGCAGGTAATTCTGTGGTTAAAATATACCTTGGTATAAAGTTCTGTATTTACGAGTTACAAGGTTTTATATTAAAATTCATTCAAAAACGGCTAACGATACGACAATTGTTCGAGGGATAGTTTTGGTAATAAATTACTCCTAGATGGATATTTAAAAAATCGTATCAAATTATATTAACTCTAGTGGCGTGCTATCTTTTGTGTTTAAATAACAATATTAAGTTCTGGCCCAAACTGTATGAGCTAAAATCATTAATTATGTAATTCAAATTCAATTCCGGGTAACATTTTTTTAAATTTTTTTCTGAAATTTTTGACGGCATGCATCTCGATAAGGAAACATTTACGGAACCTTCGCTATACAAACTTATCTTTTTATTTTCATGAAAGGAATACGAAGACGATGCGGTATAGTTAGCAAACACCCTATATAAAGAAAAGTGGGAAATACAGGGATAGAAGTATTTTGAAATTATTTTATTAATTATTATTTAAATTAGAAAATTTTATGTAAACAAAATTCCTTACTGTAGGAACATGATTTTAGATAATGTTAATTTATAGGAAAACT